AGCTAAGAAAACGAAGGCGACAAAAGGAAAGCACCAAAAGCTAAGAAAACGAACGTACCAAAAGCTAAGAAAACGAAAGCGACAAAACGAACGCACCAGAAGCTAAGAAAACGAAAGAACGAAAGAAAACAATATTATGAATAAAAAAAAATTGTTTGGAGGATTATTTTAATCAAAAATTATCATTTATCATTATATGACTGCTTCCAAAAGATGATTTTATTAACCTTCGCAACAACAACAACCGCAACACAGCACCCTCCTTCATCACAACAAATATTCCGTTAGCCAAGATATTCAAGCGGAATAATTTAAATTATAACAATAATTTGGATATCCACTGAAAAATTCGAATCACGTGATAAAAATTTGAAAAAAATCAATTCTATTTTTTCAAATTATGATGTATTAAAAAGAAAATCAACATTAACAATCATATATTGTATATATTACATTCAAAACGTTAGGAAAAAAAATTAGAGTATAAAGTACATTTAATATCTTATTTAACTATTATAATAAAACAAAATTAATAAAAACGATTTTTTTAGAAGTAGTAAATAATATTACAATTGCACAATCTTTTATTAATACCATTAATTCCTATAACATTTCTTTTGACAATTTAATTTTTTTTATTAACGTTAATGATACAAATATTTTTATTTCTATTAATTTTTTATAATTTGGAAAAACTTAGATAGATTTTGAAAATTTCAAAATATAAAGCATTATTTATATATTTTATATAATGTAAATAACTTAATTCTAACAAATAAAATTGATAATTATTACTCAAAAAAAATGATAAGTATAACTATAATCATAAAATGATAAAGTAATTTAAGTTTAATAAAATTAAAATTGTAATTTTTTTATAAAATGATTTTTGGTAGAGTATTAGCAATTTAAAGTCAAATTATTTTAGATATTTTGGTTATTTTACATGTGATATATGATTTTTTATTGTTAATAGCTGATTTATATTTCTGTAATACCAGCTATTTTTAACTAAAAATAAAACAAATTTGTCTTCTATTCTATTACAATAAAGTATTTTGTCACAATAAAATGTTCATTTCAAAATCTAAAAACATTAATGTTTAAAAAAAATAAGTTTATTAAGTACTTTGCCTATTAAACTTTTCTGATATATATTTATGTAACAAAAAGCTTTTCTTACATATCAGCAGATAGTTGTAAATAAAACAGAAGTAAGAACTAATAGAATAGTTTCTTATAATCCTATTCATAAGTAATCACAATGTAACAGATTAAATTTTTTAGCTACATTCTGAAGTTTTCATTAAGCTCTCAATGAAATTTGATGTAAAGTATAATTTAATATTTAAATACAACAATAGTCTCTTCTAATTATCAATTTTGCATTAAAATATCTGATTACTTACTCATTAATTTTTGTGTTCCTTCATTTGATCACAATCCCTTTTCATTAAAACTTATTTTAATTCTTTTGACTATTTACATAATTTAGGAATATGATAGTTTAATGAAAAACATATCTTATTAAATCTTATCATTAAAATATGTATTATATATCTTTAACTGCTTTTCTTTATAGCTAAAGTTTATATATTTGGCAACGAATGCATTTGATAAAAAAGCAGCATGATTTGATACATTATCAAATGTAAACAATGCAAACAATGCTTAGCCTTCTGGAAAATATGCTTCAAATATAGATATAGCATGTTTGATTACTTAATTTATTAAATCCTTAGCCTTTCATCATCTATTATTATTTTTTCCCAGATGTATAATGACAAAGGCTTTTTTAGTATCTGTATTTTGTTAAAAAGAATAAGACAATTACAAACTTCAGTTAAAAAATCACTAATTTGAATTGAATAACTATTATCTTTTTTTGTAAAGGTTGCTTTTCATTAGAAATCCAAAGGCTATAACTTCCATCATAAGCTAAGAAAATGCATTCATCATGTATGACAAGGATAAGTAGCATATTATTGTCTAACCAGATTACTTTTTTAAATTATCTCCTAAGAAAATAAGCATTCTATTCTCAAGTTCATTTATTTATTCTAAAAATACTTTTTAATAGACTATCACATCTTCCTTCTTATATTTATCTATATACATTTCCCTTTTTTACCTTAGTATATACATATCCTAACTCTTTTAAATAATTCTTTGCAGTATTGCCATATATAATCAGAGATAACACAAATTTAAGCCCTAGTAAAATAACCTTATTCATTTATACCATTAGCATTTACAGAATAATATCTCACTTACGTTTCTAAATATATGATTTTACTTGAAAAAGAATATCCTTATTCCAAAAAAAGCTTTAAATCTTAGTATGATGTTCTCAACAGGAATAAGAAATTTGGTGAATTATTATATACTTAAATGTTCAAGTACAAACACATCTAGTATAATATACTTCTTTTCTTGTTATATCAGTAACAATATTACTTGCTTCTATTTTTGAGTAATTATTTTTACAAATTGAAGATAAAGATGAATGTTATTTAAATGCATCCAAATCTCACTATTTGTGTTTTCTTTTTTGATATCTAACTCTAGATTTTTAAAAGTAATCAGAATCCTATTATACTAATTGTAACCCTTAATTTCATTATATAACTGCTTATTAGTACTATTATCTATTTTTACATTAATATCCTCAGTAGATTTCTCAATATTCCAAAAAATATTTAACATAAGGGTCCCTTTTACTTGCTTCATACTATTACTGATTCTTTCTTCTTTTAGTATAACTGCAGTTACTAATATAATACAGTCTACATTATACATGAAGTTGAAATAGATCATTTCAGATATCTGAAATGGTCGAAATGGTCGAAATCATTTCAACTATTGGAGGTAAAAGTTGAAATGGTCAAAATGACGTTATATTACATGATAATTTATATATAGAAAAAACAAAAAAAAATAAAAGATGTATGATTTCAGTTAAAGATGATACAGCAATTGATTTCAAATTTACAAAATGTTGCAACATAAGCTAAAATTAGTTGCAACATATATAG